TAGCAAACAACAACACAAAGGTATACTTGCTTAGATAGAACGTCCTTCAATTATCAAGCAGTATGTATAACTCCTAAAAAAAGGCATTAAGACAACTGCTAGTTTTCTCATTTTTCGATTTTTACAGGAAAAACTAAAGGTGTTTTCTGCTGCAAAAGACGTAAAATAAGAAAAAAGAATAGTTGTTCCAATACTGTTTTGAGAGATTGTAATTTTCTGTGATGTAGTAAAATGTTTTTTGAATCTTATTAATTGAGCAGCTCCATTATTTTTAAATCGATTGCATTGTAACGATTTATTCTTATGATTGTCGGATCTGGAATTTCCTACGATGCTGAATCTCCCCCCAGATTTTTCTTTTACTGGTATTAGTAGTACCCTGTGCTTTAGAATTTGGTAGTAAGCTGCATTAAATTACATCCACAGATTTCAAATTCCATCTAAAAATATTCACCTATTCGTGACTAATAGCGTTTCGAATTTTGGCTACATCTTGCTAGCATTTTAGCATGAGCTGAAAACGTTATAACTCATCAGTGGATGCAAACGTTAAGAGAAAATGTGAAATCTATCGATGCAGTGCGATGTGATTAGATTTATAACCGGTTATTTTGATTCCAAAGTAAGAAAAAATTGATTGTGATAGATTTTTACCACGGAAAACCGATGTTTTTGGTGGTTTTTGGGAAACTCGATCTGAAAACAGTGTTGAACTGTAGGGCGAAAATTCGTTACCCTCCCAGACTCCTCGAAGATCGTGACAGAGGGCTTCAAGACACTATCAAGGAACATGTAAATCGTATGTCTCGTTAGAATATCTATGGAGTATTTCCTTATCGTATTTCTATGCTCTAAAGTAAGAGGTGATGCCGAAGTATACCACGATATTCATAAAGAGATAAATTTTTCAGGACTAACAACAATTGGTAGATCGTGTTTCACATTTTTATCGTGCCAGACCTGCAGTGACCGCTTATTTCCAAGAAAATTGGTTTTAATCTGAATTTGAGCGATCTTTTTACATGGGGCAACGTAATCAACGATATCGAAAGCAACCAATATATGGCAATGGGTATGGTGGAGCTTACGGCTATGAATATGCACCACCAGTAAACAATCATCACCATGGTCACTCGTCTGGTGGTCACTCCGGAGGCCATCACGGTGGAGGACACCATGGTGGAGGTCACCACGATGGAGGAGGTCACCACGACGGAGGAGGTGCAAGCTGCGGTGGCGGTGCAAGCTGTGGTGGTGGTGGTGGGGGTACCTAAAGATTCTTTTCCACGAACCGAGTTTCTTTTGTTTCACACTTCGTCTAATTTGTCAACAAATCTTTATAATTATGACTAACAACGATGAGCTTGTTGTACATCAACTTTCTGATCTAAACTTCGCACCTAACCTTGTTAAAAAGTTGTTTTATACTTCAGCAGACAGAGATATATCTGTTGTATTGTATTCAACCGGCAGTTCGAGAGTTGTGTCAATACTGTATTTACATTTAAGCCCCACCCCTAAAAAAAAGTCGACTTCTGGCCTACCAAATAGAGCAACAGCTCGGCTATCAAATT